ACTTTGGTTCAGCTGAGACTTTACAAGACCGTACCAAGGACGAGCATACCGACTGAACAAACTGACCCGGCTGGGGAAGTTTGTCCTGTAAGTCAGAGAGTTGCCAGTCAAAGCAATGTCACTGGTTTTAGAGACACGACGGTACAAGACTATCTTAGGTGTGAGAGGACAGTCGTGGGAAATGATTTTTCAATCATTCCCAAAGACAAAAACGGACCCAGCTGGGGAAGATCTTTCTAAGGCTGACCTCACAGCAAAAGGTTTTGCTGAAGTTTTGGCTTCATCAATTTTATTGCTGACTTTGCCAGAGAAGTCGTCGCTAAAAGTCAAATATACCCGTGTCTTTGAATTACCGAGTTCTCCAGACAGGGAACGTGTCTCAGAGGGAAACAGAGTCAGAGACATCACAGCCATCAGTCTGCCAAAAAAAATCGTCTCTAAATTGTAAAGTTTCTGTTGTTTTTGAGCTTAAATGTTCCCTGAATGGGGAAGCTCAATTAACAAACATCTCTGAAACCCCAACCAGTGGCGCTTTTGTGACTGTTCCCAAAGACAAGACTACCCCAACTAGGGTAGCTCTCTAAAACCGAGAGCAAAGTCATTGGGGACAGTTTTTCCACTGTTCCAAAAGGGATAACCGACCCGGATGGGAACGTTAACCATTTGAAGCAGCGAGCTGGTTCAGACATCCTGGATGTAATGAGTACAAAGGCCGCACAGCAAGGACAAACTGTCATGGAAGAGAGTAGAACTTCTTTAAGTTCTCCAACGACCTTCAAAACAGTTGGGTGAATGTCACTTTTCAATCCGTCCTGAACCTGAGCGTAACCAGGAGGTGTCTCGTGCCGGAAAAGGTGTTTTTAGTGGCTTCATCGATCCCGTGCTGTGCAAGTCTCATACACTCAGCTGTCCACCAACCAGGAAAACACATTTCTCCACAAGAGATCTCTCCAGTCCTGATGGAGCTGAGGGAGAGAAATCTGTCACCGGACACAGGAAAAGACTGAGATATGTTTATTGGAATCTGTGTTGGTCTGGCTCGACTCTTGTGGTGGCAGTACAGATAGGGAATTATACAGTGCAAGCACTTGTACAACATGTGAGACGGATTCCTTAGAGCTGTTGAGTAATGGCCGCCTGGTTGTACTTCCATCTTCCACATTGCTAGACAAAATAGCATCTCTTTTTAGCTGTTGGGTGGATTTGGGGGTCAAACCTATTTGTCCAGGTCAAACCTGGTTGCGCAGGAAATTTTTTATTTTTATTTTTTTAAAGCCGGATTGCAAGCATCTCTGTTGCTCTGAGCGTTTCACTGGAGGAGCAGATGTATTCCTAAAAGATACGTTTATAAAAGATAGGTTTATTGTTTATGGATTTAAAGCTGGACCAATCGCACCGCTGGCGCCTCTGCATGTTGCCTCGTACGCTGCAGGAGCTGGAGGTCTTAAGTTTACCTTTAAGCAGATCACACGCGTCTCCTTTCAATCAAACCGGACACAGGCCGACCTGTATGGATATCTACATCAACCCCTTGTGAGGAATTAAGATTCTTTCCAGAGTTTTTGATCAAAGTATTAGTTTAAACCCCATCACGTTAGCTCTGGTTGCGCAGCTCTACGTGAACCGCAGGAATAACTTGTAGTCGAGCTTTCAGAGATGTGTTGAGAATGATTTATAATTGTGGACAAATGCTGCTAAGAACATCAGCACCTCCAACAGCTTCTGTGTTACATTTAGTGAAATCTGGAAGAGGGGGAGAAGTTTCATTGGCCAACCTAAAAAGTCTTTAAGCGTTACATTCTTAGCCGGAAAAAAGGATAAGCGAGTTCAGTCTCAAGATAGTTTGAAATATTGACCAAATCTAAGGCACAGATCCAGCCATCAAATCTAATTTCAATGCAGCTCTTCCACAATTAACCGCCCTTCTATCAAAAAGAAAATGCATGGTGTTCAGTAGCATTGTATGTAAAAGCAGATTTTTTATTAGTTTAGTTTAAGAACTACCCAGATCATCCATCCATTCATTCATTCTGGAAAAGTCCCAGGTCCATCATAACCTTGTATTTCTTCATCCGTCATGTTCTTGTAATTTGGTGCACGAGTATTGTCTTTATGGATAAAACTGTCAGCGCTGCCTCTGTGGCTTCAGTCTGGGCCAAGCACTATCCGCAGGCATGTAAAGTACAACAGATCAATCGTGTATTTGTAGTCTAACCTCTGCAATAAAATACATCCTCAGGTACAAACAAGACACACTTGAATGTCAGTGACTAAATCTTATTAGCCGAGTTTTCCGTTGCACTTTAATTTATTTGTCAAGAACATTTACTCTAAGTCCTTCCACAGGATAACACAGTGAATCCAAAGCTGTAATAAGTTTAGTTTATAAGGTTTAAACTAAAAGCTTAAATATTCTTCATTCATTTCTCCACTGTACACAGTTTGATGAAACAAGCTACAGGACAACTAGACCCAACAAAGAACAAGGAACACAGGTGGGTTTAAATACACAGGGAGACAATCAAGGGAAACAAGGAACAGGTGTAACTAATCAAGGGTTAGACGGGACAACACTGAGAGCCACAGAACACAGAAACAACCAAATCCTTACACTTTGGTCTTTACATTATATATTGACACATGCAGAAACCCTTTTAGTCATAACTATGTTTGATTTGTTATAAACAAAAAGGCACAAGATGTTTATATAATTATGAAATTTCTATCAAACCTTATGAAATGGTCTATTTTACATTATCCATGTTCCTAAAATTGAACAATCCATCCATCCATCCATCCATCCTCTGTCCACCCTTGTCCCCAGTGCATCGGTGGGCACCTCCAGGCCTTGAGGTCCTGCAACTTTTAGATGTATCTCTATTTCAACACACCTGAGTCAAATAATGAGGTCATTAGCAGGACTCTTGAGAACCAGTCTGCACTTAGGAGGTGATTCAGCTACTGGATTCATGTGTGTTGGACCAAGCAGACATCTAAGAGTTGCAGGACACCGGCCCTCGAGGACCAGGATTGCCCACCCCTGTTCTAGTGGGATCAGAAGGGTTGCTGGTCCCTGTTTCCAGCGAGACATTTCAGGCGAGAGGCGGGGTCACCCGGGACAGGTTGCCAGTCTGTCGCATGGCAACACAGAGACAGACAGGACAAACAACACACACTCATAAGGAGCTGTTTCCTTCACCAACATGTCCATTCAAATCTGGTCTCATCACCACTTTCTACTCCATCAAGATCTTTCCAGAATCTCTTCCTGCATTACAGCCAGCCCGTAAATTGACCCAAATTCCCTTGATTTTGGGAGATCAATGATTGGCTGATACTCCTATGTGAAGCCGATATTATCAATTGATCTTATGAACCTCAAAAAAGGTGTAAAGATCAACGACTGTCTGCTCTCCTCTGAGAGAGGTTTGAATGTTGGCCCCGCCCACCAGGTCATGCAGTCAACAATAACTACTACTTACTAACTCATCGACTTTATTGCTACATTCAGCAATGTTTCGGAAAAAAAAAAAAAAAAAAAAAAAAAAATCAGTATTAGCCAAAACTGGGATTGGCAGGTCAGACTTCTTAAAGATTGGTAATCAGTAATCGGCCAGATTATTGATCCACACTATAGTAGCCTTATCCTATCCACACTACAGTAAAACAGCTTAAACCTCGCTGCCCTTCCTCACATAATACATCTACCATTCTCCTCTTCATCATATCAGCCAGCTTTCTACCTGGAGCTAATTATTAAAATATGAACAGAATAGCAATCTGTCCATATAAGATCGGGATAGAGATGAAATAAAAACAAAACATAAACACTGGCATAAAAGGGAGAGATGGAAAATAAAAGAAGTGAAAAGAGAGTGGAGAAAAAGCCATGGGTAAAAGCAAGAAAAAAAAAGAATAAAGATTTACTGGAAACTCAACAAGATGATAAAAGTAATTGCAAAAAAATGAAAAAGACAGATACATGAAGCTGAAGAAGAAATAACTCACAGCATAAAAAGAAACAGCATAAGAGAGAAACAGAGCAGATAAAAAAAATGGACAAACAAATGTAATTGACCTAAAAATAAACCTTAAAAGGAACGAATGGGAAGCAAAAATGGCTAACAAAAGAAATGACACTCAGAGAAAACACAAAGGAGAGGGAAATAGATGACAAAATGTCAGATAAAGACTTATGACAGTGATCATTAATTGATTAAAACTAGGGTTGAAAAAAAATAAAGCTGAAAACTATCCGTAGATGGAAGGAGGAGGAAGGCGGGAGAAAAGATGTGATCGTAAGCGTGTGACAGAGGGAACAGAGGGCAGGAAAGGAAATTAGAACGAAGAAAGACAGACAGACGGAGCAGAGCGGAGCGGAGTGAAGGTATGAAGTGAGAATGGAGAGGCAAACAGAAACAACAGCAGAACCGGATGATGAGCTGAGGCAGCAGGAGTCAGGAGAGAGCATTAGTGTCCCTTGATGCATCCTTATCTGGATCGCAAACTCTGATTTCTCCACTGATAGCTGGCAGCGTCCCGATCACTGCAGCACAAACCTCCGTCTCTTCCCCTGACCATTATCATCACTCCGACACTTAGAGTGAAATCCAGAGAGTGCCTTCCATCATCACGCCAACGTGGAATCTTATCACAGCGCCTCTCCATTTTCCCCTAACTGGGACAAACTCGTTCAGCAGCAGAACTTTTGTGCTTGTCAGACGTGCATCGTGTGACGCGGACGGTTTGCAGGCTGAATCCCAAACAACGTGTCTGGTTTAAATGAAAGTTTGGCATCCTCTGCCACCCGTTGCTCACTGGGGTAGAAACTGTTGTCATTTATCCGTCTGCTGTTGTGACACACGAGGTGGATAATTGCCGATCACAGTGAATGTTTCCCACAGCCCTGACTGCATGTGTGCATGTTGCAAGTGATTACAGAGGCTATGGGGGAAACGCAGCTGAAGAAGACAGAAGAGATTTAAACCATAAGGACTCACGTTGTCTGTTCTGAGCTTCTTAGCCGGGCAGCCTCCATCCACAGGATGTAGCATGTAATACAGCCGCACTTTGTTGGCGTGTTTCCGACTCTGAAAGGCAGGAAAAATTCAAATTAATATCAGTTACGTTCAATGTGTGTTACTTTTGGAAGATGACACAAAATGCTTGACTGTCTGATGTAATCATGGGTCAACCCTGAGACATGAAGCGGCCGCATTGATGGCAGACACACACAGACTTAAGAGATTTTTACTTTGACCTAAACTGTGAACTAGAGATGCACCGATTCAATATTAAAATCTGTATTGGTCCCGATATCGGGAACATTTTTTGGATCAGATATTGGTGACAATGTGCCCAGTCCATAATGGCAGATCTAGTCAGTCTAATTCTGTCTTTTGCTCTGAGCAGTGTCATGCTGTATTAATAAAATATTACATTATGTTTAGAAATCCTATTGCACTTTATGAACTTCACACTAATGCAGAAAAAAAACACACTTCTTCAGTAAAAAACCGAACACTAGTGTACAGAAGAAAAAAAGTTTCTTTCAGTTTGTGCAAAATGAAAAAAAGTTACTGTAATGAATATTTAAGGAAACTATTCCACTGCTTCTTTTTAACTCGATAAAAATGTGCATATGGAAACCTGATACCGTCACTGTGGGAGTTTTGACTTGGCTCTTGTGCCATGGGCGTATTGCCTCCTCCCACTGTTCATCATAAAATGCTAAATATCCGCAGTATTATTGCATAGTTCTCTGAAAACTAAAAATCAACACAAAGCCAAGGATCTGCATATTTTTACCTCAGTTTAAATGTTTAAAGATGCTTGGCTATGAAGGCAACTTGAGCAATAGTGAGATAGTAAACAATTAATGGAGGAAACTTCCCAATGTTGACAGATGGATTATGCTTCGTCACTCAAACGATCTGTTCTCATCTAAACGCAATTAAACTGAAGAAAGTGCCGTATTGCTCTTTTCGCGCTCACAGAAAAAAAAAAAATATTTAAAAGGAAACGTCTTTGGTTGGAACATTTACTCCTTCAGTGTGACAACTACGCTACGCCTTTACATAAAACAATGTTAATTAATTTTTGGGTACTATAAGAAAACTGCTTAGGTATGACACAGACACATGAAGCAACTGCACTTTTTTTCTGTGATTATCTCCAAATGTTACATGTGTCACAATGGCAGTCTAGACAACAAATGATCACCACTGTGGCTTTTGAAGAACTGAACTGCACCTGCAAGAAATGTAGTTGTTTTGGTCAAAGTTGTGCTCAAAAAAACCCAAAACAAAACAAAAAAAAAACCCAGTCAAGCTTTAATATTTTAAAATTAAACTTTAGTCCCACCAATTCTCACAAATCTTTGTTAATTCCTATGGAATGTTTCCTGGAATTTTACCACTAAAGTTTTGGCTAGCTTTAGCCCAGACTGACCCTGGTAAAGGTCAGCCTGGCTCTACGCTTTGCTTCGTCCAGAGGGTTTAGGCTCTCGTATGCTGAGAGGTGATTGCTTCCTGTAGGTGTAAGCAATCACCTCTCTCAAAATTTGTAATTTTACCCAATTGCTAATGTTTGCTCGTGCACCAGTTCGACACTGGTGTCGAACTGGTGAAGCTTACCAGAAATCGCCTGCATTGTAAACAACCATCCTCCACTGTGAAGAGAGAAGCGCAGAGTTGAACAAGATTGTTGTTTGTTAATTTCTCATTTGGAAGCGTGGCCAACACAGACTGAACGGCTTCGTTCACCTCCTCCGCTGACGTTGCTAAAACTACAAGCAGACTACAATTCCAAAAATAAAAAGTGACATCATCGTTCACACCATCCCCTTCAGTTTGCTGATTGGCCCGGTTGAAATTCCACCAGAGGAATTCACTTCAATGGGAAAAAACCCAGACTGTACTGTAAGCAAGATCTGAATAGAACGAAGTGTTTTATGACGGCAAAGGCCTGGCTGACGATGTCTATTATATCAGTTGATATCAGTTGACCAAGACTGGAGAAAAACAAAGAAAATGTGCCCTTATTAGTAGGAGTCAAGGTTTATGGAAAAGTCTCTGCATGCGTTCCAGTGATCTGTCCATAATACTGTGGTCATCTGGTTGTACTCCTGCCATTTAATGGTGTAAACATCTCCATAATTCATTCACACATCAGTCCATCAAATTCATCAGATGAGACAGACACAGGCTGTAATTACTAATAAGAAGTCTGAAAAGTTTTGGAGCAGTTCCTCTTCAGGATTGCTGGAATGTGAGGGTGGCTATTGTGCAAAGAGAAGATAATCAGGACTGAAGAAAAAATCCATATCGCATTACTACCACATCAGTGAGCAGATCACAGATAATGTGATTCCAGACAACCCCCTGCTAAAGGGCCGGGCTGTTCGATGTCAAACGACCTAGGCTTGTTTTTTAAACAGACTCATCCCAGTCGGATGTAAAATCTGCTCCTCAGGAGTATAAATAATCTTTAAGAGCTGCTCAGAGGCGCTTCTGGTCCAAGAACTCAACCCATGCTGGACATTTCTTCCTGTTCAGTAGTCGCCTGCAACAGCCTGCGCCAATTCTCAGCTGTGAATCTATTCATATAGATCTGAAACCAGATCTATAAAATGTAGAATTTAATAGCTACACCACTGCATCATGAACTAAAGTGGATTTAATTTTTGAGGATAAAAGATGTTAACACCTGTTGAGTCTTTGTACAAGCTTAGCTTACTAAGCTGCTCCTGATTTTACTGTCATCTATCAGCTGAGCTCATCCTGTGACTGAAACAAGTTCGGTCAGATCACACAGAGACCATTTTGAATAACTTGCTGCAGATTGTGGATTGGGTTTGGGTCTGGAGTTTGACTGGGCCGTTCCAACACCTGAACATGTTTAGGTTTAAAGCGTTCCATTGTAGTCCTGGCTTTATGTATGGGGTGGTCGTCCTGCTGGAAGCCGAGCCTCCACCTCAGTCTCAAGCCTTTTGCACTCCAACAGGTTTTCTCCAACATTGTTCTGTATTTGGCTCCAATCATCTTCCATCAACTCTGACCATCTTCCTTGTCCCTGTTGAAGAGAAGCACTCCAGAGAATGATGCTGCCACCACCACCATATTCAACAGCAGGGATGGTGTGTTCAGAGTTAAGTGCGTTTTGCATCTTGGCCAAAACATTCAGTTTTGGTCTGGTCAGGCCAAATCTCCTTCCACATGTCTGCAGTTAGCCAGAAGTCATGTTGGACTTCTTATGGTTTTCTTTTAACAGTGGCTGTCTTCTGCCCCACCCTTTTCAGACCCGGGGGCCATGAAAGTCATCAACATCTTTTCCTCATGTGAAAGGGCTCTCAAGCTATAGGTTCCAGGGGTTATGATTCTAATCCTGATTCTGTTTTTTTTTTCTTTTCCTATGTTATTCTTGTCTTTAATTTTGTGTGCATTCTTGTTCGTTTGCTTCTGTAAGGAAGTGTTTCCCAACCCTGGCCATCCAGGCACACCGCCTGCAGGTTTTATACGTCTCCCTGCTTTACCACGTCTGATTCAGCTGACTGCAGTTCAACAAACACCAGTCAGTTGAAATCACCTGGGCTGAAGAGGAAACACCTGAAACATGCAGGGCAGTGAGCCTTAAGGACCAGGGCTGGGAAACTCTGCTGGAAGGTAAATATGAGTATCTGTACTGAAATACAAAGGATAATAAAAAATTTGATGACAAAAATAAAAAAAATTCTTCCTTACAACTGACTCTACAGAGTCTGACCAGCAATGCAATTATAAAGTTGCAGCAATAAATCCCAGTAAGGATGTTCACTGTTATTCAATGTACTCATTTAATTATGACATTTAGAATGATTCAGTGCAAGTCCCAGAGGCGGATCCATTCCTGTGCGTTAGCTGGACAACATCTAGAGAGTTTTATTGTTATAGTTTTCCTAAATCTCTCTGTATGAGAGATCAGTCTGCTGACAAACTGGGACGGAAGTTTCTAATGTCATTAAAAACAACCATTTACTTTAAAATGCTCTTCCAGCCCAGAACTTGAAGTAATGCAAATTATAAAGACATATTAGGGTCAAGAGAGCTGGTTAAAGCAAACTTAACTTAAATGAAGTTGTTATACTGTAATGCCTGATAACTTGTTTATTTTCCGAAACCATCAGTTTCTCTGTATGTTTACCATGTTCTGCGTTTTTTTCCCCCCTGTGTTACAGCACAGCAATAGTTTTCACACGATACCAAAGTTTTAACATGATGCTCACAATGTTGAGGAACTAGCTTGTGGTTTTAAATTTGTGCCTCACGTGGCTGGAAGCACATTTGGTGAAATGTTCACATGAACATCCTGTCTGAGATCATAGAAACCTAAATGTGAGTGGAATGTGAATGTCAAACTCCTTTAATATGACATGCTTCACGGACTAACTGTCGCTCTTTCACAGAGATTTTTTTTGCTGTTTTCCTTCTGTTTAATCATATTTCAAGAGGACAGTACGGTTTCACTATTCTTTCTCACTTGTTTTTTTTTTTCTTCCCTCTAAAGGCCACCTACTAGCTGATCTCTCAGGACTCTTTCTGTTAATAACCTCTCTTTCTCTCCAGTGTTTGCACTGTAAGTGCCACTGCATTAGGGTGAACCGTATAAAGAGGACCAAGCAGCTCTGCAGTGCTGTTTCTGCTTAAACAGGAAGTGTCAGGCCACTTTTCATTCTGGCAAAAGGTTCTGGGCCAGCTTTATCACCTTCTACTTGTGCTTTTTATCGCTTAGCACACAGACTAATTCCTGAGGAAACCAAGTAAAAGCAAAGCAGAATAGCTGAGCGTGTCCTCCACAGATTACTCCTAACGCGCTCATACAGACCTTCTCTTTGATTTTCGATCGGCATCGTTACGGTTCTGCCTCATTTTGTTCCAGCAGAACTTTTTTTCATCAGCGCTACAAATAGCTAATATTTCCATCCCGTTGCCTCTAAAGCAAGTGAAAAATAGTAAGAGCAGTTTAAACACCTGAGTATCCGTATTTTCTTAAAATGAGAGCTTAATGCCGACAACATTTCGGAACCACTTTGTGAACATACAGGTTTAAAAAT